AAAGACAAGACCAATTACAAAGACTATCTTTTTGAGGCCAGCCTAGTCTACACAGCAAGTTCCAGGCCAGCCAAGGCTACATAGTAAAACCCTGTCTCAAAAGAAAAAAAAAAAAAAAAAAGTGGAGGAGGAAGAGGGCACTCAGCTCTGTGAAAGAGAGCTCTCGAGACTTGCTGGGGGCTGGGACTTACATTTTTGCATACTAGCATCTACTTTATTGTTTCCAGCACTGGGGATGGAACCCAGAACCTGTATCCTTTTTTTCCTTTCTTTTTTTTTTGAGGCAAAGGTCTTATGTAGCCCAGGTTGGCCTTGAACTGATGATCCTCTTGCCTCAGGCTGGGAATATCTGTATTATCAGTATCTATCACCACACCTGGCTTTTCTTGTGGTTCTTGCAAACATTAGCTTGGAATGCATAAAGTGCTTAACACAGTACATGGCACACAGAAAAAGCTAATCAAGTGGAATAATATTACAACTGGCCAAAGACAAATGTATAGTGAATGTAGCATGCTTGAATAGTCGTACAGGAAATAGCTGAATTAGCTGAAACTGAGCTGAAAATAGCGGAGTCGGACTGCAAGGAAAATCCCTTTTATTGTTTTAAAGACAGATCTTTATAGTCTGGAGTGTGTGTTTTCAGGACAAGAGGACTTTCAGCAATCTAAGAGGAAAGAATAAATAACAGAAGGAGCAAGATTCCTGAGGGGGTCAAAACGGATGAAATCCAGACATAGCTACTGATGCACATTGCTCATGAAAGACGTGCCCTGAGAAGGGCCAGAAGTTACACTGGCCAATTAGAAAGGGGAGTAGAATGGGGAGAGAATTCCTCTTTGACACCTTGTGTTTTCTTGGTGAGCACAAGGCACTAATTGGCTAATATCTGGATGGCCTAAGAAACACAGCAGAAGCAGCTCAAGTCTGGGGCCAGGAAGGAATCATGGACCACAGCCCTTCTCAACAGCACAGCCATCCCCCCTTCCCCAGTCTTTTTGTGGTTTATTCATTTATTTATTTTTTTTTATTTTGGACTTTTTGAGACAGGGTCTCCCTGCAGCTCCAGCTGGCCTGGAATTTGTTATGTAGACCAGATAGCCTCAAACTCACAGAGATCTGCCTGCCTCTGTGGGCCACCACACCGGGCCCCTCACAGCTTTTATATAGGCATGAAAGCAGATGGAGATTAACCCAAATTGCTGCTGCGTAATAGCAAGTAAGAGAAACCCAAACTGTCTTAAGCAGAAAGAGGAATTTGTTGGACAGATGCTGGGATCCTCATTGAACAAAGACCAGACTCACAGCTGGAATTAACCCTGGAACTGAAGAACCTCAGAAAACCTACAAAATTTTCTCATCTGTGCTCCCACAGGCCACATGATGGAATTTAGCCACTAGTAACTCTCAAGTTTTAAGTTACATTCTGGGCCCAGAAGTTGTAAAATTTCTCTATGAGGAATTACTTCAGCTAGTCTGGGGATAACAGGTTGAACCAGTTCCACAGGAGGCTTGCAGATGTCCTAGGTGTTTGCTAGGGTAAGGTGGGTCCCTTGGTCTAAGGATCTCAATCTCTATCATAATAGTGAATTTCTTCTCAGTCAAGGAACTAGATTTACATTTTGTGAACAGTAATTCCACAAGGAACATAATTCATCCATCAAATATTTTAATAACATCCTATCTGGTATGACCCCTACCCAGAGGGTACTCATCATCCAAGAAATAGTTACAATGCAGTTTGCCAAATACCTAAACAGAGGTAACTACAAATGTTCTGCTCCCTGGCTGCTGCCCACTTGGGGCTGAGATCGGGAGAGCTACAGGAAGGAGCAAGTGCAGTGGGGAGACCCCAACCAGCTATTGGAACATGAAAAGTCATGTTTGGACATTCCAATGTGGTGCAGCTACCCAAAGCAAAAGTGTAGGCCATGTTCACATTGTAATTCAGTAAAGCTTCACTGAGCACCTACCTACTCAGGTGGGTGCCATGGAGATGTATCAAAGCTAAGACACACTGCATGGCCACTTTGAGACTAGAAGGGAGACAGAAATGGGCACAATCTGCTGAGACTCTTCTTTGAACCAATTACCTTTCAATTGAATCACCACTCAATTTCCATTCTTCTTGAATGATCTCACTTTAGTTTATGAATACATATTGAATGGGGCCCCAAGGAAGGTTCCAAGCTAAGTCTCGTTTTGATGAGAATCAGGAAAGAATAAGATCCAGTTTGCAAGAAGTTTTCTAGCCACTACCTAAAGCAAATCCAAATCCAGCAGGCCAATGCTCACACCCTGCTGCTGCACACAGGTCCCCTACTTTTCCTTAAGATCAAACTTCCCCCAGAGTTTACTGTGCTTATGTCTTATACCCAAATTGAACCAAACTTCCAAATGTGGCAAAAAAGACAGCTCTATCACACCATTAAAAAGAAAAGTTAGCGGCTGGAAAGCTGCTCTTGCAGAAGACCCAGGTTTGGTTTCCAGTACCCACATAGCAACTGACAAGTGTCTATAACTCCAGTTCCAGGGGAATCCAATGCCCTCTCCTGGACTTTGTGGGCATTGCACAGATGGGTACACATATACACACAGGTCAAACACATAAAATATAAATAAATCAAAAAAATAAAAGAAAAATAAAGGTCAGGACATTTAGATGTTTACAACCCAACAAACCCCCAGAGAGGCGTTTAAATCAATGCAGCCTAGAGCTGTTAAAAACAGATCAAAGAGGTACACAGTGTATATTGTAGGTGATGTTTCTGTATGATCCTTTAGCAGGGATATTGAAAATATAGCACATTTGGCAGTAGAAATTGAAAGCCTGTTGTTAAAGAATGATTGCTGAGCCAGGTGTGTTGGCACATGCCAGCAGCTCTAAGTACTCAGAACGCTAAGGCAGGATGATCACTTAAGCCCGTAAGTTAAAGACCATTTGAGGCAATGTAGTGAGACCCTCATCTTAAAGAAAATGGGGGGGCGGGGCCTGGAGAAATGGCTCCTGGTTGCTCTTGCAAAGGACCCAGATTTGGTTCCCAGCACCCACATCATGGCTAACAACCATCCATAACTCCAGTTCCAAGGGATTCAATGTCCTCTTCTGTCCTCCTCAGGTACTGCACAACAGGGGTACACTCACATACAAGCAGGCAATACTCTCATACACAAAAAAAAGTGACCAAACTTGGGGACGAAGTAGTTGTGATTAGGTAGGTGAAGTGCTGAACATATTCTAGGCCAGCTTTACAAAGAATGCAGTACTTAGTCTTCTGAAAACACTATCCCACAAGGACACGATCTGCCTTGTAAGGTAGTAGGCTGGATCCAGGCGAAGGTTTTCAAGCATGCATCTATCATTTAGAAGAAGTGTTGCAAAAAGTGAGTTAAGGGCTCAGCAGTTAAGAACACTGGTTGTTCTTACAGAAGACCCAGGTTCAAATCCCAGCACCCACATAGCAGCTAATTGTAACTCCAGTTCCAAGGGATCTGACAGCCTCTTCTGTTCTCTGTGGGCACTGAATGACACTGGTGCACTTACCTACATGTAGTCATCCACACATACATGTAAAATAAAAATTTTTTTTTAAAAGTGAGTTAAGTGGGGTTTCCCCTCACAGTGTGAAGGTTCCATCCCCTATAAATGAGATTTTCCTGCCTGCATGTAACCTTTGTAAGCACAAACTAAGAAAGCAGTCCATAACATAGGTGGGGAGAAACACACCCAACATATTTTAAGATTGATTAACTTGGAAAACTTTAATCAAGTGATGTCACCTCTCCTGCTGGGAGGTTCTAGACATGCACAGGTTGGCAAGCCAGTGTGATGGAGTACTGAAGTTCAGGTGTGTGGAGCAGACCTGAGCTTTAGTTCTGACTGCTCTGTATGACCTCGGGCAGCTTTTTGCAGTTTCTGGACGCCTCCAATAAAATAAATGTTCATAGTCCTTTTCATGCTAAAGAACACTGCTCCTCTGGCTGGACCCCCCTAAACCAGATCTAGGGTTACAGTTTGGGGCGCCGGGGATGCATTTGTGAACAGCCAGAGACCACCTCTGGCGAAAGCATCGGCCGCACTCAAGGCAGGGGAAAGGCTTCTCCCCGGTGTGCAGAAGCTGATGCTGAGCCAGGTGGCTCCACTGGGCAAAGCGTTTGGAGCAGAGGTCACAGGCATAGGGCCGCTCGCCTGAGTGCACACGCCGGTGACTGGCCAGCAGTGAGGGGTATGCAAAGCGGCGGCCACAGTCCTCACACGCGTGCAACTTCTCCTCAGTGTGCGTACTGCGATGTATGGCTAAGGAGCCACTCCTCCGGAAGGCACGTCCGCAATCGGGGCAGGGGTAGGGCTTCTCCCCTGTGTGCAAGAGTTGGTGCTGCAGCAGGGTGCTGCGCTGGGAGAATCGGGCCTCACAGTGCTCACAGGCATAGGGCCGCTCGCCAGAGTGCACCCGCCGGTGGCTAACCAAACGAGAGGAAGAAGAGAAGCGCCGCTCACAGTCCGGACAAGGGTAGGGCTTCTCCCCGGTGTGGATGCGCTGATGGATGACCAGGGCAGTGCGCTGGCGGAAGCGGCGGTTGCACTCTAGGCAAGTGTAGGGCTTCTCTCCCGTGTGCGTGCGCTGGTGGATGGCGAGCAGGGATGGGTAGGCAAAGCGCCGCCCACAACTAGGGCACTGGTGTGGTTTCTCGCCCGTATGTGTGGTCCGGTGATTGGCCAAGGACCGGCTGCGACGGAAGCAGCGGCCGCAGTCAGGACAATGGTAGGGCTTCTCGCCCGTGTGTATGACCTGGTGCTGGGAGAGGTTCTTCCGCTGGGAAAAACGTTTGCCGCACTGGTCACAAACGTAAGGGCACTCGCCCGAGTGCGCCCGCCGGTGACTGACCAACAGGGAAGGGTAGGAAAAGCGGCGCCCACAGTCAGGACAAGGGTAAGGTTTTTTCAGATTCTGGGCACACTTGTGGCTCTGCAGAGCCAGGTGGTCAGGGAAGGTGCAGCCACAGTCAGGGCAGATGGGGCCCCCAGACGTCTGCCTGGGGATCAGCCGGGGTTTGCTGGGCCGCCGCCCTCTTTTCCCCTTTCGGGGTGCTTCCTTAGGCGGGAATACTTCCTTCTCGCCCTTCTTCTGTCTGGCTTTGGTTTCTACAGGGACACAGAGAGAAATTAATTTAACAAATATCGGGCTCCCGATGCTTGCCCACTACAATGTTAGGTGTTACAAGGTCAGTACACTAGGGCCCTGTCAATTGTTATCACAGACATTTGAGCCTGCCATACAGAAACGTGGAAGGCATTATAGGAAGGAGCTTCTTAACCAGCTGGAGAAGTCAGGGATGATTTCTTGGGGGATTAAGCCGACTTTTAAAATAGAATGTTTGGGGTTGTGTAGTTGGTAGAGTGCCTAGTAGACCTGAAGCCCAGGGTTTGACCCAGCACCACATAAACCAACTTATCCTTGGCTACATAGCAAATTTGAGGCCTTACTGGGCTATAATGAAACCTTGTCTTTAAAAAAACTTAAATGTTCTTAGGGCTTGGGGGATAGAGAAGCTCAGCGTGGTACAGAAAAATCTTCATCCCCATCTACCTTCTAGAAACTATGTTGGTTTTTTTCAGCATTTTAGGCTTTTGTTTGATTTTTTATCAGGGTCTCAGATAGCCAAGAGGGCTGGCCTCCAACCCACCATGTATCTGAAGATGATCTTGAACTCCTGCTCTTCCTGCTTCACCTTCCAAGTGCTGGCATTAAAAGTGTGCACCACCACAGTTTGTGTGTACAGTGATGGGGATCAAACCTAGAGTTTTGTGCATCCTAGAAAAGCATTCTACCAAGCCAGCCATATCCCCAGCCTCTACAAGAGCAGCTAGTGCTCTTAACTGCTGATCCATCTCTCCAGACTTTCTTACATAAAAGATAACTTTATACATACTTTACCACATCTTAATTTTGTCACTTATGTTCCAAAGGTTTTTTTTGTGTGTCAGTGCATGCCCTTATTCTAGTTTCTGTTTTTTATTTTTTTGTTTGTTTTTTGGTTTGTTTTGTCTTTTAGAGGCAGGATCTCCCTGTAGCCCCAGCTGGCCTGGAACTCACTATGTAGACCAGGCTGGCCTTGAACTCACAGAGATCCGCCTGCCTTTGCCTCCCGAGTGCTGGGATCAAAGGTATGTGCCACCATGCCCATCCCTTGGTTTTTCTTTTTTAAGACAAGGTCTCGGTATATAGTCCTGGCTGACCTGAAACTCTATGTACACCAGAATGGCCTCACTGCCTGACTCTGCTTCCTGAGTATTGGGAGTAAGGTATGTGCTACTACTTGGACCCTTACTCTATTTTCAGATGCAGAGAATTCCACTGTGGATGAGCCATAGTATTTTTAACTTACCCAATGCCTCCACACACACACATAAAGGGTGGTGGGAATTGAATCCATTGTCTTGTGTGTGAATGCTAGGCAAACATTCTATCATTGCACTACAACTCTAGCTCAACTTAGCTAATTTTTGTCTGTCTTTGTTTTTCAAGACAGTTTCCTTAGGTAGCCCTGGCTGGTCTGGAACTTGCAATGATCCTCCTGCCTTAGCCTCCTGAGTAGCAAAATTACAGGTATATGCCACCATACGTGGCTAATTTAGCTGATTCTTAATAGACGAATTAATATACTGGTGTTTGAAAGTTGAAATGGCAGCCCAAGACAGAGGAGACAACATGAAAAATTCCAAGGTGAGGCTGGGGAATGTACCTCAGTGGTAAAGTATTATTTGCCTAGCAGGCCTGAGGCCTTGGGTTCCATCTGGAACATCACAAAGAAAAACCCCCAAGTGTGCATGGGCTGTAAGATTTTAGACAAAAGCACAAGGTAGAAGTGGGAAGACATGAGGTATGAGCTTACAGTGACTGGACCATAAGAGTCTCTGTGCACAGGTGTGGTAGCTTTTAATCCACAGCACCCCATAAAGGTCAACCTGGTCTACATAGTGAATCCCAGGCCAGCCAGGGCTACACAATGAGATGCTGTCAAAAGAAAGGAAAGGGAAAGGGAAAAGAGAAGAGAGAGAGGGAGGGGCCGGAGAGATGACTTAGTGATTAAGAGCACTGGCTGGTCTTACAGAGGACATAGCTTTGGTTCCCAGCACCCACATGGTGGCTAACAAATGTCCATAGCTCCAGTTCCAGGGGATCCAACACCCTCTTCTGGTCTTCACAGGTACTATATGCACATGGTACACTTATATACATGCAGGCAACATACCCATATACATAAAACAAAAATAAATAGATGGAAGGAAGGGAGGAAAAAAAGAAAAAGTCAGGTGTGGTGCTACTGTCTATAATCCCAGCACTCAGGAGGCTGTGAGTTCCAGATCAGCCTCAGGAATATAACAAGCCCCTTATCTCAAAAAGATAAAAATAAAATTAAAAAACCCAAAACAACAACAGCAAAAAACTCTAAACCAATGGCTCTCAGACTTTACTGTGATCAGAATCATGGGGAGGACTCACTGAAACAAATTACTGGGCCCCAGCCAGTGTTGAATTCAGTGGGTCTGTAGAGGAGCCAAGAATTTGTTATTTTTATTTTCATTTATGTGCATGTGTATATGTCTGTATGAATGTCTACCATGTGTGTACAGGTGCCTGAGGAGGTCAAATGATGGTGTCAGGTCCCCTGAAGCTGGAGTTACAGGCAGCCACCCAACCTGAGTGCTGGGATCCAAACAGGTCCTCTAGAAAAGCAGCAACTACTCTTAATAATTGAGCCATTTCTCCAGCCCAGAATTTTCTTGCTTAAAGCATTCCCAAATAATGCACAGCTGGTCTAGAAGCACTATAAGAACCATAGCTGTGCTGGGCGTGGTGGCACACACTTTTAATCCTAGCACTTGGGAGGCAGAGGCAGGTCTCTGAATTCAAGGCCAGCCTGGTCTACATGGCAAGTTCCAAGCCAGCTGGGGCTACAGGGAGACCCTGTCTCAAAAAAACACCCCAAAAAACAAAAGAACCATAGCTGTAAGCAATGTTAGAAGACCTTGAACTGTATTCATACAATAAATAGTTCACTAGTCTAGATGCACATCCAAATCAATGGGGCTTTTTCTTTTAATTCGAGAGTGAACCAGGGAACTGACAAGTTGGCTCAGTGATCAAGAGAACTTCTGGCTCTTCCAGAAGACCCAAGTTCAGTTTCCAGTTCCCTCATCCAGCAGCTAACAACCACCTGTAACTCTAGTTCCAGGGGATCCAGTGCCCTCCTGCAGTGTCTTTGGGCCTCCACATACATGCTCACATACATACACACACACAAATAAAAATAAACACACATGCTCACATACACAATTAAAAATCAATCTTTTTGCTGTTATTGTTTTGTTTTCTTAATTTGTTTTTGAGACAGGGTCTCACTATGTAGCCCCAGCGGGCCTGGAACTTACTATGTAGACCACCAGACTGGCCCCAAACTCACAGAAATCTCCCTGCTTTCCACCCAACGACCCCCACCCCCACTCCCCAGTGCTGGGATTAAAGGCATATGCCACCAAGCCTGGCTAGAAATACTTTTGACCTTAGAGATCTAAGCAGGGAAACTTCAATTCAGTCAGTGCCATCTGCCTCTGCAGGTGGACCTGGAGTCTTTCTACCTGAATGCCCTTGACCAGAGCTTTGCTTGATACTGAGAAAGTGCCTTTCACTGCTTAAGGTCTTGCTGCTATTAGAACGACAAGAAGCCACTATCCAGTCCTCAGTGAGAACCTTTCAACACAGAAATTCGGATATTTAGGGTTTTCAGCCAAGGCCCAATTCAAAGGAGGCGGGGTCAGGGATCCTGGGAGGCAGGAGGGGTAGCTCTTTTTCAAAGTTCACTAACTGTTTTAGTCACTAGAGTACAGCAGGTGCTCATTTTGCCCACAGAAAACGAATCTGGTACCCTCAACCAGACCAAAATTCTCCGTTGGGTCAGTGAAGTGAAGACCTTACGCTCCGTGGGCATTTTCCACTCACTTCTCTGGAACGTTACCCATCTCCGGTACTCCTGGGGATCTAGGGCAGCGGGTTCCCAATCATCGGTGTTTCTTTCCAACCACGAGATGAGAGCTGGCTTGGGACCTGCGCATCCTGGGGAAGGAGAACGGGTCTGAGGGCTGGCTCCAGAGATGCTGCCTGGTCACATCGCTACCTGCCCCTCCCCAGACACGCCGTGGCAGGTCGGGACCCGGGACTCCACGGCCCCAAGCCACCCCGCCCTCCAGCTCCATCACCCCCGCAGACCCCGCGGGAAGCGGATTCGGCCGGGCCTCACCGAGCGCGCCCAGGTGGCCGTAGGTCTCCCGCATCACGTCCCGGTACAGAGTCCTCTGCGCCGGCCGCAGACACCCCCACTCCTCGGAGGAGAAGTACACGGCCACGTCCGTGAACTTCAAGGCCCTGGCTCTCCTTCCCTTTCGCCGACCAGGTCCGGCCTCTCCGGGTGCCCGCGCGGGGAGCGGCGCGGAAGGCAGCGCCATCCGGCCTGCCGGGCCTGCCCCACTTGCCCCACTGCCTCCCCTCGCGGCCTCCCCGGGCGCTGGCGACCCCGGATCCAGGAGCCCCGAGCCGCTCGGCCGGCGTGTGGTCGGGGAGGCCCACAGGGGCAGGATCGGCCGCCCCAGGGGCTGTCAGAACCGCTCCGTTATCCAGGAAACTCCTGCTCCAACTTGGGTGAAAGGCACCGGAAGATGCCTTCGGGGAAAATGGCGGCGCGGCTACTGCATCGCCTTTGCCTAGAACACAGGCAGGTTCCAGCTATCGATTTTATTGACCTGAGCGCCATGCCGGCTTCTTAACCCCTTTGCCCTGAAGTGTAATGGCGCTGCGAGATGGCTTCACGCCCACTTTTCCCTTATCTATTACATTCGTTCATTGGGCGGCAACTGAAGATCCGACGTTCTAATTGGGTGTTGGAGAACGCGGCCCGTTTGAATGAAGCCAACGGATTCTTAGGGCAAGAAGGTGGATGATGCGTGAGCTCCACAGCTGATAGTGAGATTTGTAATCAGTTGGGAAGTACTCCGGGTGTTTTCCGATATTTGTTTGCCCTATCTGGAGTGAATAGACGTTTGTTCACGTCTCTCTAGAAAAAGTTACATAGCATCAGCATACATTTGTTAATAGCTGCATTCTGTGACCAAAAATTTGTCTGTCACAACCGGGAATCCTGAAAAGTTCTAGGTGACCAGTGATACTTTTTGATACTTACAGGGCACTCCTGGTAAAAACTGAAGGCCTAAAAGGTTGACACAGATGATGAAAGGTACATCTTTTGCCTTTTTTTCCGGAGCTGAGGATCGAACCCAGGGCCTTGAGCTTAGCTAGGCAAGCACTCTACCACTGAGCTAAATCCCCAACCCTGGAAGATACATCTTATACATTGGGGAGCTACTAAATAAGTCTATTGAAACGAATGACTGACCTTCCAATGCTTTAGGAAGTTTGATTTAGTTTGCAGGCCGAACAGATACCACTGTGCCTACTTTTTCGTCCTACACATAGCTCAATTTGGAGAAATGTGAGTGCACACTTAAGCTGCTGGAGAGGATAAAGGGCTAGCACATGATTTCATTTGTAAGGAAGCAGGGAAGGATTCACTTCTCTGCAGTCAGCTTGCCTAAATGGTACAGTTGTGCTGTCACTGAACAAAAAAGTGCTGGAGTTTAATAAAAAAGGCTAATGGGGTTCTTGAGTACTCTTAACTCTCTTGTAGTTACTTTGCTTCCGAATAACCTTTCTTTGCCACTTTGTAAAAAGGAAGGAAGGAGGGAGGGAGGGAGGAAGGGAGGAAAGAAGGAAAAGAAAAGGAAGCAGGCAAGCTGTGAGATGGCTCAGTGACTTTTAAAGGCACTTGCTGCCAAGCCTGATGACCTGAGTTCCATTCCTGGGAACTCCACAGTGAAAGAAGTGAACTAACTCCACAAAGTTGCCCTCTGACCTCCACATATGGGCACACATGCCCACCCTACCCCCCCCAAAAAAAACCCCTGAGTTTGGAGCCCTGGTGCCTACATTAAAACCGGGCATTGATGCCAAGACAGATAGGTCCTCAGAACTCGCTGACTAGCCAGCCAGTTTAGCCAATCAGCCATACCATCTCAAAAGTTAAGGTGCAAAGAGATAGTGAAAGACACCTAATATCAACTTCTGGTCACCACATGTGCATGTGTACACACATACATAAAAAGAATGAATGATAAAAACAAAAATAAAGCATTGCTGTAAATTTGAGATCAGTCTGGTCTATATAATGCCTTTGAGGTCAGCTGGGGCTGTGTAGCAGGACTAGTCTCAAAAAAGAGAAACAAGTACTAGAATGATACTGGCCATCTGTTCACAGTGGGAAGGCAAGATGCACTGAAGTTGCAGCCTCAGTCTAGCCCTTCTGGCCCAGAGCTGTTCAGGCCCTGTTGGGCTGAGTTTGTTGGCATCTGGAGATAGGAAAGTGACTAAGGCAAGACCTAGGGGTTAGAGAAGAATGCTCTTAACTGTGGGGAAACACCTTGGAGAAAGAACTAACCAGAGCCAGGCATGGTGATGATGGCTGTAATACCAGCACTTGAGAGAATGAGGCAAGAGAATCCCAAGCAGGAGAGCAGCTTGGGCTACATAAGTCAGTTCCGGGATAGCTTAAACATATAGTGAACCCCTGTTAACAAAAAAAGAGAAGGCTCGGTGGTAGGGTGTTTGCCTAGCATGCATGAGGCCCTTAGTTCAATCCCCAGTACCATAAAATGAATAACACAAAATTTGAAAAATAAAGATAACTGGAACTGAGTAGTAAACCAAACCCCTTGCTCCCTTTTGTATAAATTCTGGGATCCATGCTGGGTCTCCAGAGAAGCAGTAAGAAAGAGTGCCACTGCAGAGATGTATGGGGAAGATTCCTACATCAAGGGGCCAAAGACAAGAGAGTCAAGGCTTCTGGTGTTGAAGACCAACTTGGTGCCTGGCATGCTAAGTATAAATGATTGCTTTGAAGCTTACTGTCCTTATGAGGGTGATTATCCTTATGAAACAATGCATAGATTCCTCATACTGCCCACCCCACCCAAAACAAAACAAAACACAACCAAAACACCCAGAAAACACAAACCTTGAGCAACGATGTGTTAGGAAAGGTAGGAATGAGATTTGAACCTGTTGATGTCTCTACTGTTGCACTGCCAGCTCCACATTAGGTGAAAAAGCTTTAAGATAATTTCTACTTATTTCACGCTTAGTGAGGGTCAGTGCTAGAAAGTCAACCTTCAATATTAGCCCACCAAGATTTCACTTTATAGACTGCCTGGACCCTTACCTTTGCCTGAGAGGTTTCTTTACCATAAACCCAGACTGAGGCAAGCAATATCTGTCCTGGGGAGGACCAGCAAAACTACTTGTTAATTAAAAAACTGTGCTCTTAACTACTGACCCATCTCTCAAGCCCCATGTCTCCCAGACTTTTGCCTTCCTTTTGCTTCACAGATGGACTGGTAAGCTTTCAGGGCATACTTTTCCTTGACACTTTCCCATACTCCATGCAAGGACAGGGTCTTTCTTTTCATAGTCATTGTGACCAAACACTTGACAGAAACAAGGGAAAAAGGATTTATTTTGGCTCACAGTTTCAGAGAGCTTGGTCCCTGGTTGCTTCGGACCCCATGCACATGGATAGAGTAGGATGCTGCTTACTTCATGTCAGACAGGAAGCAGAGAGAGGAAAGGGCCAGGGACAACATACCTCTAAGGACCCACCTTCAATGATCTACTCCCTTAGCTAGGTCCTACCTAGAACCTCCCAAAATAGCACTACTATCCAGGGACCAAGCATCAACCCAGAGCCCATGGGGAACATTTCATATTCAAACCATAAACAACCTCTCATTGATCATTTACCTGTGGCTAAGCAGGAAGGGGTCGGGGAGAAGCAGAGGTCTCATTCTGTGCAGGGAGTATCATAGCCTGTTTGCCACCTCTGTGTATGCATACCTACGACTGGCCATAGAAGCCTCTGAGGCACATGAACTGCCATGGTCAAGTCATGAGTAGAGCTTCTTTCCTGTGTGGATGAGCTGGTGATGGAGCAAGTTTCCCAGCTGGCACAGTGAGTGCCAGATTGTTGGTGATACCCACCAAAGTGCACATGACAGTGGTCGACCAGAAGGGAGAGGTAGGTCCAGTGGCACCTACAGTTTGTGCATACATATCCGTGCATGGACAGGGCCCTGCTCAGATGGAAAATACAGCTGTAGTCAGGGCAAGCATAGGCTGTGTCTCCAGCATGGAACACCTGGTATTGGACCAGGTGAGCACTCTGAGAAAAGTCCAAGGTTGGGGGTGTATTTCAGTGGTACAGTGATTGCCTTGCATGCATGTTCGAGCCCGGTCACTGCTAGAAAATACAAAAATGAAACAAAAATCAGGGTATTGTAAGCTGAGGTTACAGCCATGACATGGAAGGCATTTTTTGGAGCATGGGTACACTATTGCCTGATAGCCAAGAATCCTTGAAGCAATATGCAGACAAACCCCCTGCATTTAGGGCCTCAGTGACTCCACAGGGGTTTTTGCCATACTTCCATGGTGAGCACTCCCTTACATAGGCTGCATCAAGAATCAAAGTTTCTCCTCCTCCTTCCCCTCCCCCTCTGCCTTCCCTCCTCTCCTCTTCTCTCAGACAAGGTCTCACTATACAGCCCAAATTCGTCTTAAACTCATGGTGACTCTCCTGACCCTTCCAAGTGGTGGGATACAGGCATGCACCACCACACCTGACTGCATCGAAGAAGGTTCTTGAGTCTCACTTCTTTCTTCTTACTCTTGCTTTCTGCAAGAAAGGAAAATTGGAGGTGGTGGTGGTGCTCTCATCAGGATGGGCTGTGGTAAATGGCCCAAGGTAGTGGACAGAGATAATGACAGCAACACAGGAGACAAGAATGGCAAGGGGTATTTTGTGCCCCTCAGATCTTCCAGTGCATTCTCCCAAGGGCCTGGCCCAGGGAGGTGAGGTGTGTGGGGAGGGATGTTTAATCAGGAAATAACTTTTTTTTTTTGTCTTTTTGAGACAGGGTCTCACTGTAGCCCAGATGTCCTGGAACTCGCTATGTAGACCAGGCTGGCCTTGAACTCACAGAGATCTGCCTGCCTCTGCCTCCCTAGTGCTGGGATTAAAGGCATGCACCACCACGCCCAGTTTAGGAAATAACCTTCATATTTCAATTAGAGGGCTTAAAACATGACTCCAGTAAGAAGTCTCATCTCTTGTTCCCTCTGGCCATGGAAGAAGATATGAAAACAGCAGACACCAAAAAAGCCTACCAGACCAAGAATCATCGTATCATCGCACTGAAGTATCAGTGTGGTTGGTCGAATTTCCTCAGGCTGCTGCTGGTGGCAATGCTGAGCTGTGTCTGCAGCCCATACCCCACTGCTGCTGACAAGATGGTCTTTGTGGGAGGGAGCTGGGACTTGAGGAAAGGGGCTTCCTACGCTCAGCCCCAAGAAAGGCCAACTTCACTACATGCCTTACTATCCCAGATCCTGGGCACTTCACTCTCTCCTCAGGACCCTCTGATGCCAAGCTCCACATTCCCTTTTGCTAGGAGCAGGAGATGAGAGCAGTTGTGGGGCCTACAAATCACAGTGGAGAGCAAGCCATCAGCAGACCCAAGTGAGACCAGAAACCCAGAGATGATACTTCCTTTACACAAGGAAGGTGCCATGCCTCACTGCTTGTCCTCACGCACAGCAGCACCCGAGCTTCAACCTTTCACCCTTGTGTGCATGGTCATTAGGTAGCAGGTGACAGAAAGAAAAGGAAAAATCTTTCCATTGGGTCCCAGCAGACTATTGCTGTACAGAG